CGCCTCCGTCACCGCTAGGACAGTCTCCACCGCAGCGGCCGCGCCTGTCTTCTCCCCAGCCCCGTCGCCGTCGGCTTTCCGAGACTCCGCCGCCGCTGCCGCCGCTGCCGCCGCTGCCGCCGCTGCCGCCGCTGTCTTCTTTTCCTTAACATCCGCCGCCAGCGGGCCGTGTGGCCGTACATGCACGGACAACTTCCGCCGCTGCCCTCCATCCGGTGAACCCGAAGCCGACGGCGGCAACAAGTACCGTACGAATGTGTCGTACACGTCCTCGGCAGTGAGGCTCTCCAGCGCAGCCACCTCGAGCTCACGACTCAAGAAGTCGTACCTGTGCCGTACCATTTCCACAAGCATACCCCACCAGCCCCCGGGGGAATAAATCCACACAAAAGACGTTTTTTCAGTTGGAACCTAGGTAGAGTATAACCGATTTTGAGCCAGAACAGAAGGGAATGCGTGTACGGCAATAACGTCTGTTCTTCAAGTTGAAAGTGTTGGGGACACCGTTGGCTTTGCTTGGCTTTGCTCGCTCACCTGCCCCCGGGTCCGTCCCTCTGGGGTCCGCCATTTCCTTTGACCGCACCTTCACTCACGGAGGCGCGTCTCACCTCTCCACTCCAAGTTGCGCCTCCCGGGGCCCCCCCCATCACCATCACCATCAGTGGCACGAATGAGGTTAAAACTACTTAAAACGGCATTTTCCCTCCCTTTTCTGCCCTTCGTACATCTGCATTCGACACCTTCATATGTCGCGCTAGAGGGGGAATACCGGGCTGTAGAGAACCGACAAGTCTAGAGTTCGAATCCCAGACACGGTATCCAGCTATATCGGAAGATGCGGGTTCGAATCCCACCGTTGGGCCCCCGCCCCCGGGTGAAATAGTCAGATCGGGGGCTGTCGAATGCTGATGAGACGAGACACTACTGGCTTTCCCCAGTGCGCTGGGCTGCCGGCTGCTGGAGGAGGGGGGGGGCTCACCAAGATACACTGCCGCAGAGCAGTGGTGTGGTGTAGGAATGACGCCGCATAGGGCCTGAGCCAGGCTGTACCTGATATATATACTCAGTGTGTGTGCCCGTATGTGCCCGTACCTCTGACTGGTGATGTGACCCCACAATCGGCTTGCCTCGTCCAGCTGGTTGCGGTCCCTCTGCAGCTTGGCGGCCGCCAGCGCCCCCACGTGGGTGCCCAGCTCCCGCGCACCCATGTCGCGGATGCGGGGGGCCATCGAGGCCAGGAACAGCTCCACGCACACGTCGAGATGCTCCGGAGGGTGACTGAGGAGGACCGGGGGGTTGGAGTGTACGACGGTACGAGTGTACGAATGCGGAGGGCGGAGTGCACAACGCAATGCAAAACACAATTTGACGCTTGGCATCACATGACACGACTTCCCCTTCCTCCTCCTCCCCTTCCTCCTCCTCGCCTTCCTCCTCCCCTTCCGCCTCCCTCCCTTCCTCCTCCCCTTCCTCCTGCTCCTCCTCCTCCTGCTGCTGCTCGGCCCCTCCTGCGCTGCTCTAAGCTACTCGTTTTGACCGGGCGCCTCGTGCCGGGTGCCCTCCTCCCCCCCCTCCACCTGTGACGGGGTCACCCACTCGCCACCCGCGGGTGCTCCGGGACCCCGGCACCCGGCATCAATACACATACAGACAGACAGACAGACAGGCATATGCACACGGCCCCGGCGGCTCACCGCGCCGAAACCACCTGCACACAGAAGCCACTGACCCCCCCCGTAAGTCGGGTGCCGCTGTACACCGAGTAGCCCAGTTGCTGCTTTGTACGGAGTGTGTCGTAACATGGCTCGTACAAGATCTGCATACAGCAAAGCACATCACCGCACAGCATGCATGTAAGCAGGTGAGAGGGCCTGCCTGTCTGTCTGTCTGTCTGTCTGTGTGTCCAAGAGCAAGAAGCAGCGCCAGGAACGTCCACATGAGGGATCCAGGGTTTTAACGGGTTTTAGTGGGTTTTACATATTAGAGTGGAACTCCGCTAGGCCGCCGTACAAAGCCGTATCTTTCCGCCCCAAGTTCCGAATCCCTTCCCCGCCCCCGAAGCAGCACAGGCGGGCGCAGCGGGCCCCCCCCCCTCCCGCTTTACTCCCCCCCCCTAGGAAAGGGAGTTCCCTAAGGCCCCTTTCCCTTCCGGGCCCGGGACAGGACACAGGTCCTGGAGTGGGGTCCGTCCGGCCAGGGTTGGATGATGCGGCAACACAAAACACATGCGAACACACACCAACACACACTCCTCCGCTACAGCCACACTTACCTGGTCAATCAGGTCCAGCAGCGCGCGGTCCCGTGGGTTATTTGCCGGACCCAGCTG